ACCTGTGACGATTCATAAATGGATTTGAAAAATATTTTTAGCTAACTAATGGATGCAGAAGTTGCCCGAAACCTTTTCCTAAAAGTATTATCACAATTAATATTAATTTTGCAATAATTTGTCTAATTTATGTTCATCTATAACAACTTGAAAATATTTGCCATGCAAACGAAAAGATCCACACACAAGGTAGACCGACGACATCGTAAAGGTAGCAGGAAGGCGCTGGACGCAGGCCGCTGCCAACCGGGCAACATGAAAAGCATGGGGGGGAGAAGGCTATGTTCAGGATTGGACGTCCAATGGCTGAGATGATGATGAAATGAAAGGATAAGTAACTTGAAACATTCTGATGATCACTTTTGATGTAAACTGTACAATACAATAATGTACGCATGAAGATGACCTAGATAGTTTTCCAATACAAAAGATATATTGCATCAATCCGCACAGCCAGGCTATCGTTTATTCTATGTCCAATTTATCGGACGCTCTATTAGTTTTATTACGAGTATTCCATTTATATTGTCTATTATTCAGAACCACTTTCAGTGAAATGTTTTGTCTAGTGTTTTGGATATCAAAGTTATTCCTAATTCTGTTTAGACTGTTTTACTGAACTATTTAATACAATAGGACGTTAATCAGATTAGGTGATATTTAGGCGAAATTATTATCTACACTAATATTTTGAGGAAACATTTGATCATTATTTGTTTGTATTCAAAACCACTGGACCGATATGAAAAATGTTTATAAGTTTTGATGAACTTATGTGATACGAAGTTCGCGGGGTCAGCTATCATTTTAATAAAAATACTAGCGCAATTAAGAACAAAATAACAAAAACAGTTTTTTTAGTTTCCAGAGACTAACCAGAGTCTGGTCTGAATAAATCTTTAAAAAACTTTTGATTACTTTTCTAACTTTTCTAATATCAAATCAATCAAATCAAAATCAAAAACATTTATTTCTTAGAAAGTGGTAACATAACAAGATATTAAATAATAACGGGTTCAGCACCTTCTGCCACTTGTGGCGTAGAAATATTTACATTATAGCATTAAGTAGGTATACATAATTATAGAAATCATTCATATTATATTTTATCATTAATTAAATATTACATGGGTATATTATTATTTTTTATAATAGGTACATTTCATTAGTTAACCACCACCAAAACTTAAACAGCTCGTGAAACAAAAAAGCTTTTGTATCAATTTCATCACTTTTATTCAAAAATCTATTTAAAAAATACTTAATATCTCGTAAAGGCGCGCCATGATCAAAAATTTTAATCAAAAGCATTTTGAGACAAATTAATTTTCCAGGAAAATTTCCAATTTTGAAAAAGGCTTGCGTTATTTGGGAAGAAAAAAAGATATTCTGCAAAAGAAACCTAGCAGCAAATTAAAGAAAAATAACGTCGAATGTAAGTAACAATGATAAACCATAGTTTGGCGAATGTGTATGATAAAAATGTTAAGCGATAAACGGTTTTATCAACAAGTACGCACAGTTCTAAATGCTGTTGAAATAACATCAAATCACACCAACACGATCACGTACTCCACACCAAATTCATAATCGGAGGGTACTTGAGGATATTTGTAAGGGATAACGCGAAAACTGGGGGTGTTTATGATTTTACGATCCTCTTCCATCCTCGATATTGTAGACCGGGAGGCGGGAGACTGAAATGGTGAGTAATCGAATCATTGATTTAGTTTCTGTCTTTAAAGTAAGAATAGTAAGGAAAAGTATAGAAGAATTGTACTCTTATCTGTAAAATATAACCTCATAATGTGTAATTTTTATTTTCATTAATTACATTACATTTTCATTTTCACTTAACATAAATGTTAGACTCAAAACTGTTGCTCTCATAGACTTCCCATGATGACGGTCTATGAAAACTTGCAAAAATAACTAATAACATAATATTACGCATTATTAATGCAAATATTGTATTTTTTTTTTAATTTAATTTTTAATCTTTCATGTTGGTTCGAAGACGATGATAGTGAGTTTTCGATTGGCCTTAGATACACAAAATTTTTGCTCACAAAATACAAGTCACATGCTTCTTCAACGCCCGGTCTAGAATCGTACAATAACGATAAACCGTTACGACCTTCTATGTGTACGAAAAAATTGTCGTGAACACGTCCCAGCGTGAAGGATACGGGCTAATGATATTTTTACCTTAATAACGGGAACATGTGATGCTGACGTGTTAAGAGAAATACGCCAGGATACGAAAGTGTCGCGCTTTGCCGTAATTGATTCATTTTGATGACGTATACTTTTAATATAAATGATAATGGGGCGTGGAAAGTATGAATGCTTTCTTTAGTAAAATTGGCAGAGGGCGTGTTGCGCGTACTGTATTTGATGACGACTGGTTACTAGGTTTTTGTAATAGGAACTAAAACCTGCCAAAAAAAGAAGTTCTTGAAATAATAAATTAGTAACAGTAATTTTGGAAGCATTCAATTACATTATTTTGACATTTAAGTATTTGATTTTTGGGGATAGTTGGGAAGGATATTTTTAAGGCGTGAAATATCACCTAATAGGTACGTTGTCGGGTGACAACCAAGAAGTTTTCAAGTGAAACTGTCTTGTTTTATTATGAAAACAAAAAGAACTGTAACTACCAGTAGAGGCGCTTAGATGTCATTCCTGCTACTCATTTCAACTACTTATGTCTTTAGCTTCAAAAACTTACAGATTGACTATCAACATATTATTATGCAAACGTTGATTGTGCCCTGCTATGTGGCAGCACAAAAATTGTCTCGTCAAAGCATACAAATGACTCGACGGAAACAAAATGTATTACAAACTTCACAATATTGTTCCAACTCTATATCACTTTTTACTTGTCGGGTGTGAAATAATACACAGTGGAGACATATTTATACGTCCGAGCTTCCCGTCAGCACCCACTTTGAATATTATACAGCACCTAGCTAGAGTTTAGTACCTAGTTCATGAAACAGTACAACAAACTACATGGTCATTTTTCATACGATAGTTGCGGGCACTGTATGAAATTAGTTGAAATTCAAATCGAACCTAATGAAGTAGAGTCGCGCCTCGGATAATGTCTCATGTAGAAATAAAAGAGATAACTTAGTACCAATTCTATGAAACAAAAGACAAGTGGGTTGATTTGAGATTGCAACGTACTAACTAAGAGCTATTAATAACAATAAGCTTAGCTATAATAGCTTAAATGATGTAAACATACCCAGAAGTTAAGCGCGATTTTGAGTTCTAATAAGTTAAATGCGTCTCAAGATCGACAACCATCCTTTTGCTCTTAAAACATCGCCGCGTCTCCTAGATGACGTAGGGCGTGCGTCATACATGTACGAACTTTTGTAAATAAAAGCTACGTTGGATTGCGTGCTGAGCAGTCATGAATGAACACGTGATAATGAAAAATAAATGAAAGCAAATGTTTACTTGGTCACTGCTTCATCAAATCACGTCATACAATACAGCGCATCGAGTTAACTACACAGATATATCAGAGTTTTTTGGTCGCTACTTCAACGAGTCACGTTACACAACGCGTCGAACTAGCCACTATCAAGATTATAATATTTTATATACCAAACGTAGCATAGGCAAACGAAATACAAACACACAGTGGAGCATGTAGCATTCTAGACATCTAGGTGGTCATAAAACAAGTACTTGCTTTATAAAATCACGTGATAATACGCGTCAAAGCTAGCCACGACAAAGATTATCAGATTTTACTGTAACAAACGTAGCATGGGCAAACAAAATGCAACCGCATAGAGAGTTGTAGCATCCTAGAACTCCAGGGGGACATAAAAGAGGTTGGGGAAAAAATGTTTTGCGTTGGCACACGTCGCTCGCATTGTGGATTGTGTGCTTAGCTTGAGTGTCGGCGTTTTAATAAACGTTTCATTTCTTACTGTGACGTCTATGACTGGCAGCTTTCGTGGGGTTGGTAAGACAAGGATTTTTTTCTAACTTACCTTCTTTTAACTTGAAAAAACAAACGGTTTCACATATTCCAGATCCAGATTAATGCTATGACGCCGATGTTCATCCCTAGGTGCCTTAATTAGTATTTAAAAAATCATAAATTCGCTTTAGTTTTAATGCTATTTAAAACATAAATACCTAACCTAGTACCTAATGTTAGTTGTGCAAGTTTCCCTAAATGTGTAAAACAAATTAATAAGCTTTAAAAATAGGGTATTCTCAGTGTCACCTAGTATCATAAATCAATATCGAAGATAATATAGGTATGTGTAAGTAAAGTAAAAGAAAGCCAAAAAGAATATTAATCATACTATCGTAAAAAGGGATCGAACAAATAAAGCAAAAATCACGATGAAGTTTCAGTGGTATTGATGTGTTACTAAAAATAAAAAGTGTAAGTTCTAAAAAAGACTACACTATTTTCGGAACGGTAATAAACAATTAATAAACATGAAAAAGGCATATTTACTTTGACTGTATAAAAGGTGCAATTAAAATGATCAAACTTGTTGTCAAAACCATCATCAAACCTAAGCAATGCCTCGAAAAGTCAAACTTACTTTGTAAAGCCCTATTATCGGTATCTGTCCCTTGTTTACAAAATTAAAAGCTTGACAAGTTTCTGTAAGCTACTATTGTATTCTTTAGTTTATCTTTTCACACTTTTCTCGTTAGTAAATACGCAGAAATTTTCATAAGGAGCAAAACTATTCGAAATTTGTGTTGTGACTCGTTTGAACGAGATCTATGTGCGACTAAACTCAGTGTTTTAAAAAAAATGTAGCGCACTAATACGCGAGCTTTCTAATAATTGCAAAATTTAGCAATGTAGACTTTAACAATAAGTAATAACAGCGATTATCGACTTGTCTCATAAGGTCATGAAAATATAAACGGTTCTGTATGACCCCGAGTGGGCGCGGGGCGAGCGGTCGCGATTCCGAACTCGCTCAGTCTCGCGTCTGCAGCCGTCGAGGATGGACGTGTGTTGCGCGCTCTGACAGCACCGATATTACGTGTCTCTAGTGCGTTACCATACAACTCGGACCCAAAGTATGTAATTCAAGGTGTGACTGTGTTTGGAATATCCGGGAGTCTGTGATAAGTGATGGAACTGTTATTTTGAAACTTATGAGGATGTATGTCTTATTGGCGATACTCAGCTTACTTGTGAAAGGTAATTAGTTTTTTAATATGTAAATGAACGTAATTTTTGGAAACAAAATATGAATGTTCAGATCATCTGCTAGAGTAAAAGGGACCGACGCGAAATGCATTTAAGTAGGGTCCCACGTTGGGCGCCAATATCCGCGTAGTTCGTACCATTGCGACTATATCCGAAATGGAAAGGAGATGTCAAATTAAATTACATTTTGTATACAGAATACAAATGCGGTATGTAAAATCTTCGTGGAAACATTGTGAGTTTGGAATTCTGAACTACGTTAGCGTTAACAATTTCGATCGAATACAGTGCAGTATTTGAAAGCATACCAAATGTCGAAACAGTGCTGCAGTGTATTTATTTACTGTTACATACTAGATTTGTTATAGTCAATAGGTGTAATTATTGGTTTTCCACGTAAAGCAAATTGTACGTTTGCTGTCTGTGTATTTAGCGTTAGAGTAATTACAGTGGATGATTAAAACAAATAGGTCACTTTGATTATATCCTGTTTCTATTTAAACTATATTTACTTCAATGTTTCATAGAAACATACCTATTATTAATTTTCTATAATTTTTTTTCACGTTGAACAGGGTCCAATCTTTGAGTATCTTTTAACGAAATCTTTTCAATCATTTTTCAATAGAACTTTACGAATAAAGTTTTCGTAAAAGCCTGTTGGCAGAAGCATTATTTAGATGGTTTTAATGTGTAAACGAAAAAGTTAGTAATGTCTGTTTGATTCTTCGAATGAGAAAGTTTTGGTAACAAACTTACTGTTACTTGACTTTATGAGGGGAACTCTGATCTAATATTGCTAATGTATATGGGCGCTATTTATTTTTCCTCCGAATAATCTATAATATAAAAATGAATCTCAAAATGTGTTAGTAAGCGCATAACTCAACAACACCTGGACCAATTTTACCAATTATTTAACTTTATGTAGGTACTGCTGTACATTAAATCTAGAATTCGAAATATTATAGGTAAGTGGATTTCAAGTTTCCAACGCTCGTTGCAGAAATTGCTGAACGATTTTCCTAGAATATCGTATTTAGGAATTCGTATATGAATTTGTGCTGTTTTATGCGATTTGGAATTTGAGCGCTTTAAAAATACGAACCATAGTCTTGATAAGATTGAACTTAAGTAGTACTTTAAACCAAGCATCGAGTTACATAATTCTTACTCATGCTACTTCTAATAAATAATATTATAATATAAAAAAAATCTTTTAAGCTATAAATTCGGAGGTAAAAAAATGAATTGTATGTTATTAAATTATTATTATCTCTATATGAATTACATATTTTATTGAGATAAAAATTCGTCGCTCCATTTAGTCTCATTCTAACTCATATTATCTAGACCAGTGTTTTTCAACCATTTTCATAACACGATATTGAATAATTTTGATAAAAAAAATAAAACCGACTCCAAAAAACATACACTAAAAAGTAGAAAAATAATTACTAATTACTTATTTATTAGGACGAATTAATATTTATGTATACCATGATTGATACTTTGTTGGGCTATTTGTACCTATAATATTTAAAGAATTATCCTCCAACTCCTAAGCGTTAAGGAGTTGTATCTACCATGACCAGTTAATCGTGAGGAGATAATGGCTATCTGATGCAAACACTTGAATAACTTTAGAAACTATACTTATCTATAAAATTAAAAGAATTATCCTCCAACTCCTAAGCATTAAGGAGTTTTACTTTCTATCATCAGCTCATGAATTTGAGATGATGATTTCCAGGAGCAAATACTTGAATAACTTAAGAAAATGTTTGAAAAACGATATAAGTGCCTATAAAATTTGAGATGAACGATGCTTGCTTAAGTAGAGCAGCAAATCGAACGCACAGCGTTGAATAGAGCTCTGTGATTGGTTCATGCATTCTGTCACCCCGTGCGTCCACGCGCACTGTGAGACCTCACAGTAATGTTTGTGAATTCGGGCGTATGTAGCAATTCAATAGTGGCATGCTTTCGTGCTGGTAATAAGCTGTACTTACCCTAATATTTATTTGAACCGCGTAAATAGCAATTTTATTTATTTTACCAATGGTCCGTGACCCTCACTCGGCATGGGGCACACTGAAAACCAGCGCCGTGGCCTTCGTCACCGTGGGCCACGGCATATTATGCTGAGTGGGGTCCCGTTGCAGTGGGCATCTTGTTGGTGAATGGGTGGCACTGCTAATTTTACTCTTGTTTTTATTTTATTTTTTTTCTTCTTCCATTATTAGGTGCCACTGTCATGTCTATGCCTGTATTTGTGTGATGTCCATTGTAATAAATGTATCTTTATTTCTTTCTAAATTGGTAACGATTTTACCAAACTACGAGTAGGTATGTAAATGAATACAGACACAAACTTATTGAATAATAAGTCCCTTTGTGGAAGGTTTCAGCGTTAACGGTTGAATAAACAAGTCTTTAAATAAACCTAACTTTGTTTATCAGTTCAATTTTCACGGGTCCACCATACAACTGATCACCATACGATTTGCATGAATTCCGATAGAAAACAATTTTACGGGTTGAGTTTTAAACTCGAATATTTATTTAGTTTTGCAAATATAATATTAGTGAGAGTTCTATGGTGAAATCGCTTGGAATGTTTTAGGTTGGTTCAAACATCAAAATGTATACAAATACCAATATCCAGTGAGGTGTTACGACGCAAAAATGCTGCTTAGTAAAATATAAATAAGATAAAGTACGTTGTAGACGAAAGGATGGATGTTTGTTACACCTTCACGCGAAAACTGCTGGATGGATTTCTACAAAACCAAAGTCTGTAGTTACTGTAAATATACATCGTACATCGGACAGCATATTTAAGGTAGCCTAGTTAGGCTACATTTTATTGAAAGTTTGCGTGAACGGAGCCGCAGGCAAAAGCTGGCAATACAGGTGGGTGTTCAGCATAATATGCAATTGTTCTATTCTACCTTTATATTTATTTTTATACACTCAACATCAAATAAACCGCACCTTCCGCGACGCGAACTTTAAAGATTTTCTTCTGACACAATCATGGTAGCCCAACAATATTGGTGTTATTTGAAAGCCCAATAAATATCCTTAAAGAAAAATACATTTCATTTCTAAATAAATGATTAACATATACCATAAATGTGACTTAAAAATAGACCTCACTTCTGGGATCAATTAGACCAATTTTTATGGTTATAAAACCAAATAAAGATCTCACGTGTCCTCTTTAACAGATGGATAGCGATTAATCCCAACTTAACAGTTTTATAGTCATAAAAAATGGCTATAGCGTAACTACCTATTTTTTGAAGAAGTGACTCTGGATCCTTGTAAAGACACATTTTTGGGGTAAAAACCTTTCCTTTAATGAAATGAAGTTTAGAACTAGGCTTTCAAATGGTACCAATGTAGGTGGAAAGTGGGGATGCATACGTTTGATAAGTGCTTGTCGCGGGAGGTGCGATTTATTTGATGCCGAGTGTATTATCACTAACGATGGCAAGGTTATCAAAAAAGGTTAATAAAACAATAACAATCCTGGATCAGACGTCAAAGCATGTAACTCAATCTTAGGCTTTGTAATATAGGTACATAAGAAGAGCTATTTCTTATAATACTTATTCATTGATAGGTATGTTTAAAGATAAAGTTTACTAACGTAATAAATTATAATAATTTAGTATTGTTAACTCATAATCTGATTTTCAATAACGTACCTACTATCTTTCTTATACTTACTTATTCAAGTCGTGTTGCTAATTTTTAGGACTCAGTTGCTAAAATTTGAAATGTACATGCTACGTCAATCTGCATTAACAAACAAAAATTTTCTTACAATTTTATTCAAGTCCTGTTGCTAATTTTTGGGACTCATTTGCTAAAATTAACACCATTATTGTAATTTACATGCTACGTCAAGCTGCATTAGCCAACTTAAAGCAGAACAGATTCTTGAAGCAAGTAATAAGAGACGACTTGCGAATTCACAAAGGAATAAACTTGTAAGTGCACTTAACCTCTAACACGTAGTGATGTTCAAGACTCGAGGCGTCGAGTCCTATTTTTGAAGCCTCGAGGTGGAATGGCAAGACTCAGTGAGCTCGGTAGGCTCGGTGCCCCGAGCTTAGCCGAGCTGCGAGCTCTCTGAGCCAAGCCTCGAGGCTTTAAAAGAGCTCGAGCCTTCAAAAGAGCTCGAATCTTCAAAACAGCTTTTTAATTTTTAAAATTTACTTATATTTTTTTTTACGAAAAGTTATAATTCTAATTGTATGTAGTCATTATTTGATTTGTGACCTTTTGTGAAAAACATTTTTCAAATATGTATTTTATTGTAGGTATCAGAATTCCTGCAGTTTTATTAATAGAACGATCTTAACACAAAAGTTAACTGGGCTTTCAAAAAGGCTCGAGCTCTGCGAAAGACTCCATCTTCATATAAACGAGGCGAGCCCCGAAAAACCGAAAAAGGCTCGAACTCTAAAAAAGACTTCCGAGTCGTCGCTTCATACAAACGAGGCGAGTAAACGACTCTGAGCTCTCGGCAAAAGGACTCGGAAACCTCGAGGGTTGTACATCACTACTAACACGACCTCTATAAAACGTAACGTTGATCTACTAATGTGTCCGGCACAAGAGCCATAATTAACCAACTTTAAAGCAGTTACCTTCGTGACGTCTCGGTAGCAAGTCAGAGTTGAGACTACGGATTAAACAGTACAAGTTTGTTGGGCTAACAAGTTTTCGTGCCCGTGTTACTCGCAAATGATTGTTCTGAAGTGCGGTTACCTTAACCGCTAGGGAAATAAACGGCAATATTATCTACCTTTGTTAACATCTTGAAGAGCGAATGTAAATTATTAATGGAAGTAACTTTAGTCCTACCTTTTTAAGGTGATGAAAGGCGGTGAAAAAGTAAAAAAGTTTCGTTGTATACCTACTTTAATATAAGACATTTTTATGGAAATACCTACCTTTTTGGAAATATCTGTTGGAATGTATTTTTTCCTTCTTTAGGAATAAAATAAATCGCTAGTTGATCGTCTTAATACAAAAGAAAATTTAGGCTCCTCCCTTCTCACTCTCTTGCTCTCTATGCTATTGTAAAGACTCGTAAAAATTTGCTTTAAAAGTACTTACACGTTTATATTATGTATGTTTGAAGTCATTATCTTTAACGCTGTAGGTATATTTCTATGTATAGATGAATAACGTCAAAATAGTTCATTGATTACACAAACTTTTGAACAATGTCCCCACAAGAACAACATTCTGGCCTTTCCAATATTGTTGTTGTCTATGTTACAGTCAAAACTCAAATTCGGTCAAAACTAATTTTGACAGATTTTTTTTTCCAGTCAGAAATGGTTTTGATAAAAGGCATTAGACAAAACCCATTCTAGATGATGTCCTAATAACCAATCATAACTTTGTGTGAAATTTGACTGATTGGTAAAATTTTAAATCAGGCGAACCACTTTTGCTGATTTTTGGCAGTCAAAAGTGATTGTGACTGACGTGACGTCCTTGGTCAAAATGACTTTTGACTAGAAAAATCGGGCAAAAGTGGTTTTCACCTAGCTAGAGCATCAGTCAAAACCCCTTTTGCAGTAAAAAGTGGTTTTGACTGATCATGAGTTTTGACTGTAACATCTATAACGACTTGCTATAAGCTTAACTGGATGGAAACTATGGTAGATGTTTACACAGGGCTAAACTTCTGTTACCGAGTTTCAGTAAGGTGCGACCCTAGCGTGTATTTCAATAACATTTAAACTATTAGTAATTCGCTCGAGTACTTCACTTGAAAGGTGGTTCAGCTGAAATGCTTCAATATAGATAGTAGACTATTTGAGTGTAGGTATGATGTAGTTAATGCTTGTTTTATTATTTTATATAGGGTAATTCCAGGATACATGCCCCAGTGGGATAGGTGCCGCGATTTTAAGTACACTATGTTACAAGCAACTTAGCCTAAAGTTATAGTACGTATAATAGAAAGGGACCTCCCCGTACCACTTTTCGCCTCGCAAACCATCAAAGAGTGCGTTCGTTTAGCCAGTGAGAGCAAAAATCTTCCGCGGCCAAACCTTAGCGAGCGTCGAAATAAAATTGGTAAGTATCTTTTAATGGATAATTTTTTTGTCAGCTGTAAAATGAAGCAGATTTTTATATAATTTGATAGACTATCTTATAAATTAGACGGGATAGCTATGTTTAATTCGATTTTTAGTGTTATTATATTTTTTATTAAAAAAGGCACCTATCCTATGCTAAAAGGATAGTTGCCTAATTTTTTTTGGGTATAGATGCCCTTAGGGCCATGTCCCATGCACCTAGGGGCATCTATCCTAACCTGCTCTTTTTGTCACAGGTAGCAAGTAAGAAGAAAAAAAGAATGTAGTACGGCTAACCTTAGGAAAGTAATAAATAGGGTGCCCTTCTGATTGAATTTTCTTTTTACCCGACTGCGCTAGAAGGAGTAGTATTATTTTTAATAAAAAATATTAAATTTCATTTTTAATTCATTTAATAACAAACAATCTTAAATAATAAAACTTGGCTTGTTTGATTTCTAAATACATTTGACCCTTAGAATTCAAAAACTATATTAACGAGTCATCTATCCCTGCATCAGGCATCTATCCTTTGAAGCAATCATACAGTGAGTCTTCTATCCCCCACATTAGGCGTCTATCCCACTTTTTAGAGGTCAATTAAAATGGTATTTTCTCAGAATCGGTATAACTTAAACTAAAATAATTATAGTATTATCATAGACGAAAGACCAAAGTTTATAGATACTAAGGTCAAATTGTTGATAAAAACTTACTGACTGAGTTACAGAGCTGTTTCAAAAAGTGGGGCATCTATCCTGGACTTACCCTATTTAACGCAGCAGTTGCTAAATATAGTGTTTATTGAGGCATGTAGGCGTGAAACAATCAGAAGAATTCCAATAAATACTATCAACTAGCTAGGTCATACAGTAGTTCAATAACCCCGTATTCACAAACATTACTGAGGTCTCACAGAGCGCGTAGACGCACAGGGTGACACATCATGAAAAATCACAGAGCTCTATTCAACGCTGTGCGTTTGATATTCTGCTTCACTTAAGCAATCATCGTTTATTAAAACGAAAATCTGAAATTTATTAAAACTTTAACAATCTACAAGATAAAATAATAATATTACAAGGCAATTTACAGAACCTAACACGGTTCTAAATAAGCCAATTTTACGCTCCAATCGAAAGATCGAGAGACTTGGATCAACGCATAAGCTTGAATCGAGTTTTTAGAATGGTACCATACGTATACCTTAATGTCACACGAGAGAGTATCGATTTTAAGGTGATAATGGAATCTCCAGTAGGTCTAGGATGCGCGCCACGATAAACTGTAAAAATTGTTATCGATGCATTCTATCAATTTTACGCAATCATCATCATCTCAGCCATAGGACCTAGGACGTTCACTGCTGAACATAGGCCTCCCCCAATGCTTTCCATGTTGCCCGGTTGGTAGCGGCCTACGTACAGCGCCTTCTTGTTCCACTCTGTGTTTTCCTGTACGCGGCCTCTACTCCAGAACCTTGCTGCTCCTGCTGATTTTTCGCAATAAGCTAATTAAATTTTTTCAAAGCCTTTCAATTTCTCATACATTTGCCAGCTAAAATCCTCAAAAACATTTTATCCCGGGGCACATTTTAGAGGCAGGAGATCCTTTCGTAGATCTCAATAATGATACGTTCCAGCGTCAATGTTGAGCTCACTTTCCAGTAAAAAATGTTACGTAATTTAAATGAAGACTTCATAAGTGACAGAAGGTGAATGTGGTTCTCATTATATTCAGCTGTTCTCGTACCCCTTTGAGGCGGGAGCTTACGTCTGATTTTACGGGGACACCCTTGACGTATAGCACTGCGTATCAACAGTCTAGTATGACAATGTCATGTGCCTTTGTATGGTCGTTGGAACTTGTTAGTTTTATTTATATGTATGTGTAGAAGTAGTTGAAAGTGATGAAGATAAAATTTACGTTTTTATGTTTTTTTCATCGTGCTTAAATAAATGACGTCACAGCAAGGGTGAAAGCTTTTATAAGCCGTCATTGGAAACCATCTCTCTCATAACTCGTTTAGGCGTTCTATGTTTGAAATGAATGTATTGGTATAATTAAATTACATTACGAGTAGGTAGACACTGTGTAGGTTTGTTGTCGACACGAAAAGAAGAAGATTACGAATGATATTGATTAACAAATTATTAATATTTTGTACCTAGTTACCTAAAAATCTTTTAGCTATAAAGTAATTGCTAACACAAAGGGAATTAACAAACTTATCTGTTCTGTAATAACTTTTATCTTTGGAATCATACACACATATCACTTAAATGGAAAGAAAAAAGATCTATAAAGGCAGAGTTGCCTCATTCATACAATAGTATTAACAAGGAAAATGCGAGGTGAAATCCAATATTCAGGTATCCATTAACCAAATATTACGTTCTTCGGAAGCATAATATTATTACCATCGATTGACTGTGAATACTAAATCGTACAGTACAGTGGGAGGTTTTAGTTAAATCAATTTTATGCGTGCTATTTGAGTGAAATATGGACCATAAGCGCAGTTTTAAGTACCTACTGGATAAAGTTAATAGTCATAGTAAAATTGAATAGATCTCTTAAATTAGAATAATATTGCACTGCAAAGATTTTTTTTTAATTTATTTGGGTAAAAAAACAGTATTGAAGTACAAGTAGTAAATAAATAGTAATAATATACCAAAATTATCTAATTTCAACACCAGCATCATTTACCACAGCTTAGATAAAACAATTAATTAAACTTTTGTTGAAAGCGGTCGTAGTAAACACTTAATACGTAGATACAGGGGGACATCGAAGGAGACACTGTGGCATTTTCTGCGGTTGTCTAAATGCCACTTTGGAGCAAAAATAGCATAGCAAGAAGACTACTTTTCCTTCTAAATAATGCTTCGTAAAGTTGTCGAAAATACTTAAAATACTTTTCATTAAGTAAACATGGAAGCAAAATCACTATAAAGATCCAGGTTGGATTTGTGGGACAGACCGATCGATCAAAATGACTGTTTCAAAAACCATTGTAGAGATAATTTATTAAAAATAACTTTTTGTAGTTACCTACTCTACTCATTTCTCTGTGTATAATTTTTTTATATCGACTTTTTAAATCTTTGAGTTGTATACTCGCTCATATGTAAAGCCTTGATCACACCTACCGAGTGGACGGGCGATACAGTACAATGATACTAGGCCGAGAGAGTTGGGTGAGTCGTCGAGTAGCTGACTCGCCAAAAAACTCGGCTGAGCGCACTCGGCGTAATGTTCATACACGCCGAGTACTCGGCCGAGAGCACTGTCTCGCCCGTTTGCTCGGTACGTGTGATCAAGGCTTAAGAGTATTATAGTCAGTCAGTCACTTATTAAACAATTTTTTTACAATCTTTTCTTTTGTTCCAGAATCTCTACTACTAAGGATAGTGCGAGTGTCAGTGCCCACATACAGGGTGAGAGGTCAGCCTACACAGCTAGAATGCGACTACGAGTTGGGCTCAGACAACCTGTATTCAGTGAAATGGTACCGAGATAACGAAGAATTCTACCGGTATATGCCCAAGTACGACCCGCCGAAGCATGCCTACAAGTTAGAAGGGATCAAAGTCGATGTAAGTTAACACTAATTTATTTAAAGTACCTAATAATAAGGCAGGTAATATCCACTTAAAAAGTATTCATCATTCTCTTGACGACCAATGTCCATTTGTCTCTGATAGACAAATACAGTTTCATACTAAGTTGAACAACAATAAAGTATACGTAGGTGTACGAAATTAATAAGAAAAAGCTAGAAAATTGTAGTTTCTAACATTAATTAAATAACAAAACTTTAAAAATAAATAACAAAACTTTATTCTTAGGTAAGATACAGCTAAATATTTATAACGACGAAGGCACGTTACACACAACTTTTATTCATTTATCATCTAAAATAATGACTCGTGTTACATTTTCTACATAAAAATAGCTCTCAGTATTGTTTAACTTACTTTTTGAAATACCATTTGCATCTGAATATTGTATAAAATTGACTTTGGAAAGAGCATTACCATTATTCAGAAGTCGAAACGTAATGGCTTTTTTAATTTCATTTGCTACATTGTTGAGACCCTAACATATTTCATCGTGGAATAAGTGACTTTTATCATGATCAAGTAAAGCTTGTCGGAGTTTATCCATTAAAAATAATTACGCCTATTGTATCTACCATCCCGAGTCGTTTGCGCGATGAAAGCTAGAGTATTTTAACTTTCCCATTATGATAATTTCGAGTTTAAAAATGCCGGTCCATTTGAAATTCGAATACAAGGCTACAGAAAATATTTTAACACAAACGGTCTGCTATCATGCAATCTGATAGAAGGGAGAACATTATCAAATAACTCGAAAGGTTTCTTGAATTTTCGTTCTCTAAAAGAGGTTGTATGGTTCAGTTATCTATTCCGAACACAATAGGGGATGTCGTTCGAAAAGTACTGACAAAAGATCGGGGATGGGAAATGAGCGGAAAGCCAGACAATCCATACGAGCACTCGACTATTCTACTGTCTTCGGAACTACTATATTGCGAATGTGCTCAACGAAATTACACTGAAGATTCTTCAGATACGAACTGAATTTATTAGGGGCGTCGTCATACACTGCGATATGCCCCATTGTGAGGAGAGATGCTCGGAAAATAAATGTTGTATCTGCTATAAAGTGTATATCCGTTTGTTCGGAATCGATAGAGCGTTTTTAACTTCCTATATTTTTGGTCGCTGAAGCGTGAATAGGCAGAATATTGTGTGCGCGTTTTGCAAAATGCCCGTACCAATCACAGACAGACAAAGTAATAGACTCATAATTTAAGTTCGACTTTGAGTTTGTCTCTTAAATTGACAGTTTCCGAGAAACAAGATATAGAAATAAGTTTTCTAACTCAATTTGATCGTGCGAGTTAAAACTTATTTATTTGTTGTGGCATTATTTTCAAACAAATAACTGGATAAATTGACTTGTGGTAGAATAATTTGAATAGTTGTACGCTTTTAATTATAGAGGCGTATTTGGAATTAGTTCACGTTAAAATAATTTCTGTTCATGTTAGTTTAATAGTTCTGAAAATATCACAAGAGAAGTTTTAATCGATTCTAATTAACTAAAGATCCAACTACCTATCCTAATCCAATAACCAATTCAATACTAATTCCTCCCATAGTATTTTTGGTGTGGCTATACAAGCTAAAAATAGCTTGACCTAGCAATACATCGAGACAGCATATTGGCTGTTTCTGAGAAGTGGCGAAAGAAACTCATTCCTTGTCAGCCGTTCATTTGTTTCAGAAATCGAATAAGGTATAAGGCCCAGTGTACCTACCATGAGTTTACGATAAGTGTGCTCGCTAGTGAGTACGTCAAAAATCTCTATGAAGATTTTGTTTCTTGAAAGTAGCCGTTAGGGGCGCTGAACAATATATCATACAAGTAATGTCATTTTTTTAAGCAGTCGCTAGCGAGCACACCTATCGTAAACTCATGGTAAGCACACTGAACAAACAGTTGAAACGCAACTGCAACGAAAGTGCAACTGCTAGTTACTTTTGAGTTGCATCTAAGTTTCTGCCATAGCGTCCGTTGAGAGACCACACATGACGCGACCAGTTTGAAACTTTCAGTTTCAGTTTCATTCATCAGAATCATCACAAAGTTGCAGTTTCGTTGCAGTTGCGTTTCACCGTCTGTTCTGGGCCTAATTGTTAATTTCTTTGCAGCTACAAAAGTCAGATGACCGAAGAGTGGTGCTCCACCCAGTGATGCTGAAGTCTAGTGGGCTGTATAGATGCGAGGTGTCGGCAGAAGCGCCGAGTTTCGCATCGGGATCAGACGAAGGCAGGATGGAAGTTTTATGTAAGTCTTTACTCATACGCTCAAATATTTATATATAATGCAGTCGGTACAAGGCACGTCCTTGGTCCCAAGGCCTTTGTCCAGCAGTAGACATCATATGGCTGAAACGAACGAATGAAACAAAGCATGTATTTCACCAAAATCGAACCTGATATAAGATGCAGTCTAGGATAGTACATACCGCCCAGTAAATGCCTATTCACTCTCTTGAAGAGGCATGGATTATTGCTGTAGAAGGCGGCGTATTCCAGTCCCTAGTTGTTCGCATTATAAAATATCTTCAAATGCTGTTAGGCATAATTAATAAAATATGTCATACAAGACCTACAAAATAAAAATTAATTTTGTAGACAATAGTGATACTACTCTTTTTGCGATCTGTGTGCCTACCATGAGTTTACGTTAGGTGTGCTCGCTAGCGACTGCGTAAAAAAATGACATTTAAATGTATGACATATTGTGCAGCGCCCCTAGTGGCTACTTTCAAGAAATAGGATCTTCATAGAATTTTTTGACGTATTCGCTAGCGAGCTCACCTAACGTAAACTCATGGTAGGCACACTGTTATAGAGAACTATAGGTAGGTACCTACCATTGAAGTTATTTTGCTGTAGAAGTCCAATACCCCAGGGTTTCCGTGAGCATTATTGCGAAATTGCGAAAATACGGACATCCTTTTAAATCCGTCTTTGTATATTTCACATTCAAACAAGTATTTTATACATTTTGACATAACACTATTCCAGTAAACCGAGGATTTATCCACGTTCCTCACTGCGGCTCGTTTACAATATACTCGCATTGCACTCATAAACTACGGGATTCATGGACATTTTAAATCCCCTGAAAATGAAACGCCATTTTTGTCTATTTGCTCCAAAAATACAGGCCGAAGTCCCGGCGATCCAATATATTCGGATCCTTTATCCCTTATCAAGGTAATCGGGTCCACGAAGCGAGTTTTGTTCTTGACTGAATTCTAATGTGCCGCTATGGGGACCCTGCTGATAATGTCTTTAATAAGGAAACATGCGCTCGGAAAGTATTGCCGCTTTAAAGAATTTTTGGGAAAAGTATTCTTTGGGGCTAAACTTAATATCGTGAAGCTGAAGTGTTTGTTTATTTCTTTTTGGTTGAACGCGCTTATCTCAGGAACTACTGGTTTGAATTGAAAAATTATCATCACTCTCCATCACGTGCAATGCAGGCCAAGAGCTTCATTCCTCGTTGCGAAAAAACATTTAGGCTGAGTTGCACCACCTAACTTTGACAGTAACTATAACGATAACCGATGTATTTTGTTTGGAGTTTGACAGATTTTTGACGTTTGTCAAAGTTAAAGTAAGATGGTGCAACCCAGCCTAAGTTGAGTTAAATTAAGGGGTAGGAAGGTAGGCTATGACCAATAGGAGCAGAGTCAGTGAAAAATTTTACAAAAACTAAGAAAACTGTTAAAACTATTTTACACGCGTACGAACTCGCTAGCTATGTCTTTAATGAGGAAACATTTCTCTGAAATTGTTGCCGCTTTAGAAAATTTTGACAAAAGTATTCATCGGAACGTTCGGTGAATTTGAAGGTAATTTATCAAACGCCGATTCCTTTGGATACGATAAATTGAGTAGACGAGCTCGTTTGCATTATCCATTATGTATTTATCTTTTCGAAATAAAGGTTTTGAAGATGTCAATTATTGAAGCATCTGGCTTTTTATTGGTTTGTACTTATGGTATCATAAAATTAGCTGTTTTGTTTTTACTTGAGTCAAATAAAAGCTTTAATATCTGGACACAATTTAAAATTAGGTAATCTTTAGTGCCGCTAACATTTTTGTTTACTGCCAATAAAGAGATCTCGCTTTATTTGATATCGTAAGAACCGTCATTTCCTAAATAAGGTTTCAGGGGAAAAAAGTGATACTTTTAGAAACATTTTTCATTTACTTCCTAGTTGTTTACTAACTATATCGACTTGTCGTAAAATGATTTGACATGATGTTCGAAATCTTTCGCAATATTCGTAATTTTGTGACGACCAGTTTAACATATTGGCGAGTTTACAAAACGATACCTGAAAATTACTTTTTCACTCGGTCAATGACCTGTGAAAAATCGGATAACCTTGTTTTACTAAACAAAATACGGTGGTAGCTCACAAATTGGAACGGCGTTGTATTGCTCTGTCCGTTGCATGTTCAAATCCAATCATACAGTCAGTGTCATAAAAACTAGGATCAATTACTGCGAATCCAGCCAGTGTTATTACTTTGTACAGTCAGCTGCACATCAAATGGCAAAAAAAATACAGGGTGTCCCGAACCAGATGAATATATATTTTTTTAAATATTGATTCGCTAATTTACTTATAGTAGGTAATACACGTGTGGTTATAGGTTATATTGATTAGGGACCTATCGGATCCCAGTAGGAAACAAGTGCTGAAAATCACTTTATTTTATATTAATCGAGCTCAACAAAATCCGTAAAGTTCAATCAAGTAATTTTTCTAAAATTGCGGCATAACATTCGAAATTGATTTTTAAAAGAGTACAGACAGTGTATTAAATTACAATAGAAATCTGAAATTATTATTAGAAAACAAAAATTGAATATAACCATGTCTTCAAATTAAAATTCATAACTCGTAATCGAAAAGGAAGCGATTTTTTCCTGGCGGGGCCTTATTGGTTAATCCAACTTATTTTTTTTTATTTCCAACTGGTATTTATTTAATAGGACAACCAACAAAACATACACTACAAGACAATCAATTTTGTACCTGGCCACCCTGTATTTTTGTTGCAAAATAGAAGCTATTATACGTAGTACTTATTATTATTCTGTGCCACTATTTAAGATACTAGGTGATTAGCTTGATGTACCGCTGTCGTATTCTAAAATGTGATTTCGGTAAAAAACTCAAGGTTGGATGATTAATGCTTTAAGTTACCTTACGTAAGATTAAATGATTAATAGCCTTAACTTTGTTTAAGTTCACGCCGTATCTAAGTACTTTGCTTGGTTTCACGCTCACTGAGTGGTGTGGTATGAAACTCACGTGGATAGAACCCTGAAGGTTTTTTTTATATAACGCTGCTTTTTATTCTATGACATTAATAAGATGTCACATAATATCAGCATCTCACTTAACATCAGGTCCGATTGCGGTCAAATAACTGCCTTATTCTGCATAAAAAATCCCGTTGCTGAAAGTCCAAATTACAGCGTGTAATTTAAATAACACTTTTTTAAAACTAAAGTCTTTTGGACATTTTTTTTCTCTTTCTGGTATTGATTACGCAATCTAAAAATCGAGTACCTAATATCGCTTTAAATAGTCCTTGAGTAGGTATCGAATGTTTTTAATCTATTATAGAAAGCAATTGATCCCGTTCCAAAAATAAGCAAGATTTTTTTAATAAATTTAAGCAAATATGCGTAACTACTAGATATATTCTTACTTAAAACTGTTTATTTTTGTAACCTTGTGTAAGGCTTCAATATCAAATAACAAATTGGGGCTACTACACTTTGCTGGGCTTGTTACGTACAAGCTTAGATTATTTTAGGAGTCCTATTAGATCAGCCGTTCTGGAACGTTCGATTTTCGAATTCTAATGAATACTTCGCTAGTTTTTAAACGAATAAATCTTTAATACGGTCGCGGGAATAGCCTGGATGCGGGCAGCGCAGGACCGTGCATTGTGGAAAACCTTGGAGGAGGCCTTTGTCCAGCAGTGGATGTCATTTGGCTGAAACGAACGAAATCTTTTATATTGCCGCTAGAGAGATCATCTGAAGAGAAAAAAAAACAGTCGATAGTACTACTAATAAAGACTGGTAGATCTATAAAATAAAGTCTCATAAATAAAACACTGGATACTTAACTTTCACATTACATTGCCTCATTTACAATCACTTATCTTACTTAAAACGCACGGAGACGTCCGCGCACGTCCTTCTATTCTGACGTTTCTAGAGTGACATTACTTACGTCAACGTCACTCTGAACAGCTCATTGGCTAACGATACTAATATTTTAACGTTTAGATTTTTGACAATTAACATTACCTACTTAATTCTAATTTTAGACTTTTGTCCTCAGATTTACCACGAGAAGGCCCAAGAATAACAGGCAACGAGCAAGAGAACAGAAGAGGGGACTCAATGTTCTTGAACTGTACATCGGGACGATCGTACCCAGCTGCTGTGCTTAGTTGGGACATCGACGGAGAGAAGGTTAGTTCNTCAAATTGTTCGTTCGTTCGTTCGTTTCAGCCAAATGACGTCCACTGCTGGACAAAGGCCTCCCGCAAGGATTTCCACGAAGACCGATCCTGCGCCGCATCCAGGCACCCCCCGCGACCTTCACCAGATCGTCGGTCCATCTACGTGGGAGGCCTGCCCACGCTACGTCTTGGGTTACGTCTTAGGAGAAGGTTAGTATCTAGCCATTTTTTTAAGGTCTGGTACACTAATTTCTAACACAATTTCTAACTTGTGTTAGAAATTAGTTCACTGTAAGAATCCTGCCGACAACGGGCATTGGACTTACAACCCTATTGTCATCTGTTTTAAATACATACTTATAAAATTCTTTGCTACCTATTATTTATACTTCTATACTAATATTATAAATGCGAAAGTAACTCTGTCTGTCTGTCTGTCTCTTTTTCACGCCTAAACCACTGAACCAATTAAGATGAAATTTGGCAGTCCCGGGAAAGGACATAGGATAGTTTTTATCCCGGTTTTTGAAACAGGGACGCGCGCGATAAAGTTTTTCTGTGAGAGACAAAATTCAACGCGGGCGAAGCCGCGGGCGGAAAGCAAGTAAATAATAAGGTGACACATAAGCACCTAGCGCCTTAAATCAGTCTAGAAAATAGTGTTTGATATAGCTTCTGTTGTCGCAACACGTCACCTTATAACTAGAAGTCAATCGAAGCAACTTTGATGCCGATATATTGTCTAAGGATGATATCCTGTGCGACATTGCAGGAGCGATTCATGTTCAGTTAACAGCACATCAGATTTTTATTTTAGCACATTTTGTTGCAAAATTTGCCTGTATTACAACGAGATACAACGCCACTGTGTTTACCTTAATGTGCCGTCGTCATAATTTAGGCTCTGTCTATTTATGGATCTAATAGTAGTTTTGCCTGAGGTTCAGTAATTCTTGAAGGATCGGTTCTATGATAAGAACAACTTTATTGTCGGATTTCACCTAATTACCACAGTCTAAGCCTACCCTAAGCTCACGTATGTAGTCTGACGAGCAAAGATTGACTCATGCGATATGGCCAGCTTAGCTAGTTCGCAATTAAGATGAACTAGGCAGCGGTTAACCTAGACTTTAGGACGCATATCAAGGGATTACAACCAGGACAAAGTTTCTGTTTGGAATTTTTGTGTTAAATGTCACTAAATACGGCTAGTCATCTACTTCAGTCCCCAATGTGGGTTCCTAAGTAAAACCTAGGTTTAGAAACTTGAAAGGTTAATATGTGCAAGCCACTTAATTTTAAGCTGCATGTACGCGTATCAAACAAGGCTGTATGTTTCTTTAATAAAATTTAAAAAAAAATAACTTTCTTTGCCACTGCCGAATATTTACTGCCACTGCAGTAGGTACATAATTAATTTTATGTCGCATAATATTGTTTAATTTATGAAATTAATAACATAGGTCTCTGCTACATTGATACTAAGAAGCTTCTACAACCGATTCTTGCCTTTAATAATATTAAAGAAAAAGTAATTTTATTCAGGCAATTAATTTGTGTACATTTTCATTGCACAGCACAAATTTAATTTGAAAACGATACAAATCGAGTAAATAGCCATAGGGCATTTTCTCACAGTGAACCTTTGCGATGAAACAGAAAAAGCAGTGCGTGATTTTACAATTTAAATCTGGCTGTGTAGTAAAATATGGAAATGAAATATTCATTTCTTGGTACCCATTTTTAATAATACGGGATGCGCATTTCGTGAAAATTAAAACTTCAATATTTATTTTAATCATTATTAATGCAAAGACTCCGTCAATTTTACTGTGAATTTAAAATAGAAATGACAATATTACACATATAATATTTATTTTATCATGGGCTCACTTCAATCGAGTACAAAATATTTAGTTATGACTAGCGGCCGCCCGCGACTTCGTTCGCGTGGATCCCGTTTTACCCCCTTCATCTATCTTACGCGGTTTAAATTTTTACATACAAAGGTTTTTTTTCGCTAACTCCCGTTCCCATGGGAATTTTCCAATATCCTGTTGTAACTAAGCTTTAAGTTTATTAAGGTACCTACATGCCAAACTTCAAGCGTCTAACTTAAGCGGTTCAGATTTTTCATACAAAAGGATTTTCCCGCGAATTCCCGTTCCCGTGGGAATTTCGGGAATACTTGCTGTAACTAAGCTTTAACACTAGAAGTGCCGAAGATTACGACCCCCCTAAAAGCGCCGCTGGGTCAATTTTGTCCCAGCATATATTTTGTAACATTTTTTAGTTTCAGGCATGAACATTATGGTTAAAACTATTTGTAGTATCCTTAAAAAATGGTTTATCTATACAGTTAAATCAATATGTACTTATTTCTTTAAAATTATAAATGTATACAATTTTAATTTTGAATTAATTAAAGACAGATATTTTTGGTTTCATATAAAAATAGTCACATATTACATGGTGTTATACTGTATTAAAATTATGAAATTACTAATTTAACTATTCATTGTTCTTTTTGAATAAATAATAAATATCTTACAAATAATAGTGCACATTTTGCACAAAGATTTTTTGTACGGTTTTTTTGTCTCTCTGGTCTACTATATGTTTAGGAACTTCTATAGGTATGGTTATTTTTCTGTTATCCGTACACACACAGTGAAGTTTATTACCAGTTACAATGAAAATTATGTACGTTTAATTTTTAAAAAAATATAAGTCACAAATTTTAAAAATGTATCAAATCATAACTGGCCCATGTCTTGAAGTCACCTTCCTACTAATATTATAAATGTAAAAGTTAATAAAGATTGATTAATTGATGGATGGATGAACCGATGAACGGATAGGAAGGATGAATGGGTGGCTAAAAGCCTTGAACTTGAACTAAGTGAGTGTGGATTCATGGTTAGATCGATTGTTGTTTTTTCACTCTTTTACGCAAAAAATACTAAGCCGATCTTAATAAAACTTTGCAGTTTTATTGTTAATATTTCAGAATAACATAATATAGTCTATAATTAACAATAATATTCCGTTATTTGGTCAAATAACAACGATAAGTGTCAATAAATTAGGTCTTTCTATGATAAACTTAATTTCTTACTAGGTGAAGTTACAGACAAAAACTAGTACAATATATTTACATTTCTGCATTGTAACGAGTCACCTAAACGTTCCTCACCTCCCCATTCTCGTATTTCCTCGAAACAAGGACTCTTCATCGAATTATTGTTGCAAATACCAAGGTGGGACAAAAATGACCCAGTGGCGCTTCTAGGTAAAACCGATTTTAATTTTTTTTCTAATAATGTTATATTATCAAAAACATTAAAAAATGATAAAATTCAATAAATCAGGAAAAGTCAAAAAGTTTCACGGACTTTCGTTGAAAAATAAAAAAGTTGGAGACGATCAAACTCGCGAGTGGGACAAAAATGGGACGGCGGCCTTTCTAGTGTTAAGTTTACTAAGATACCTACATGCCAAATTTCAAGCGTCTAACTTAAGCGGTTTAGATTTTTCATACAAAAGGATTTTCCCGCTAATTCCTGTTCCCGTGGGAATTCCTAAGTATACCTACTGTATCCTGCCCAGGAGTATGAAGAATAATAAAATTGTACCAAGTTTCGTTATAATCCGTCGAGTAGTTTTTGTTTCTATAATGAACATACAGACAGACAGACAGACACACAGACAGACAGACAAAAATTTTACTCATTGCATTTTTGGCATCAGTATCGATCACTAATCACCCCCTGATAGTTATTTTGAAAATATATTTAATTTTCATGTACAGAATTGACCTCTCTACAGATTTATTAAACAGAATAGGTTAATTGTCTTCCTAAAAGAGCGACTTTAGAATTAAATTTAAAGATATCTTGAATTAAATCCAAATTACGTGTTTAAATCGGGTTTCGTCATTAAATTTTCAGCGCTTTGAAACACTAGTGAATCATCCCCTAATTTTATGACAATGTATATTAAGCTTTAACGACCACATCTCTGAATTCTTTAGTGACAACGTCTGATCAAAGTCGTAAATGAACTGATTTACATTTTACGAACCGAATTTTCTGTTAATTAATTACTTAGGCACTTTTCATACGATCCCAGTGCTAAGAATAGGTACTGTAAAGTTCTTAAAATACCTAATGTTACGTACCTGATGTTCAGTATTGCCTAAAATACTTCCTCTTGACTAATTAATTTCAATCTTTTATTTTTTATTTTAGAAGCATTCGCTCTAGTATTGAAGGATTTTCTTGCGTGAGCACATTCCTTTGCAAGCCAAATAGTTTGGCGAGTACGTGAATCCAAAGACTATGCAAATAGAGTCCGGATTCGCGTGCTTACCAAACCACAAAGCATTCACTTGGCGAGTTTCGTTCCGAAGTCGATGCGAATGCTCCTGTCAAACTTAGAGCTGTCAAGTCGAGCTAATTGTTCATACTAACTAGGGCATTCTAGGTCGATAGTTGCTCTATTTCTGCCCTTTGCATAGTAATTAGACTTGCGGCTACGAGTACTAAGTATCAGGCTAGTAAACGTCCGTTTTTTTTTACCGGACTATAATGGCCCGATTTTTTCGCCAGATTTAGCGGTGGTGTATGGTTTATAATTAACGTGTGCATTATGCATCGGACATAGTAGGTCAGGCGAAAAAATTGACCGCAAAAAAGGATAATATCAGTTTGTTTGACGGTCCGTCATCCGGTGAAAAAACGAATGTCTACAAACGGCCTCATCGTATTGCCAAGAATTCATTCGTTTCAACCAAAAAACGTCCACTGCTTGACAAAGGCCTCCCCCAAGTATTTCTACTACACTTTCCGCGACCTTCACCAGATCGTCGGTCTACCGAGTGGAAGGCCTGCCTACAATACCTACGTCTTGAGGTCCGTGGTCGCCACTCGTGAACTTTCCTACCCCAAGGACCATCAGAATCATAAGCTATGGTAGCCTCCTGTCGGTTAAATTCCGCAGTTTAATATTATTAAATCAATATAATGCGACGGAGTGACTGTCTAACCAAATATTAATTTAACGGGACAGTTAATTAACTAAAACACGCCCAACCTTCAATGCTTGCATTTACTTAACCAAGCTCATGGCTTCAAGTATTTGCAGAACAATGTCTTTTAAAATACGATTAGAAACTTCAGTCTGGGCAACGTTGATTTAATAATGGCTGAAAGTAGGCAGGTTACAGGTATTGTATCTCAAAGGCTTTGTAAGTTCTATTTATCTACAACTCTAAGAATTATTAAGTTTTTCCGCTCTGTCTGAAACCTGAGAATGCCGGGATGTTCTTATTACATGTACAATACAACGTAATAAAGACTTGTTATGCTTGAAACCAGGGTAGTACTAACCTTTGAAATCTTTTCCACAAAGAAAAAGGGACCTGAAATTTAAATACATAAACCTTTAAAAAAATGCTGCATCGTTTTTCTAAAGCAAAGTCCAAGAGCTCTTTTGTTTAACAAAAACATAAAGAATCATAATCAGTATCATCAAAACTTTCTTCAGTCTTTGATAAAACATTAAGGAATAAAGTTTCATTAATCTAATGTTAGTTAAGTACTTACAATTTTAAGAGAATACATTAGGCATAATAAATTATAGTCTGAATTCGTATACAGACCACAGCATATAAAGAAAAACCTTGCGACACCATAAATAGTTGTAATAGAAGCGATTTTACACACCTTATAGAATAAGAATAAGAAAGTCTTTATTCAGCTCAATATGGTAGACAAAGCAAGAGTAAACATAATTAACATAAAAAAAACCGGCCAAGTGCGAGTCGGACTCGCTCACCGAGGGTTCCGTACAAACCTGCAAGGTTTACAAAGTTCGTTCATTACGACAATCGAGTCATAACTATGGTATTTTTATTGCTAAATGAAATTCATAAGTTTATATTTATTAAAAAATATATATTTTGTAATGTAACTAAAAATTTAAGGTTTTCGGAACTTTTCCTTCATGTGTGCTATAAAACGTTGCTTCATGCCAAATTTTAAGATTCTAGGTCGACTGGAACTACTGGAAGTACCCTTTAGGTTTTGATTCCCTTGCGAGTACTTGCGAGTTTCAAAATATGCAGCTTAAATTGCTGTTTCTTTTGATTGCGTTGACATAGAAGTTTGATTTTGTTACAACTTAAAGGTATTATAGACCTGAGTATTTGGTATGAATTTCAATTTAATACCTCTACGCATTTATGAGGAAATGGGTAGTAAGTTTAAAATTATTTTAAAAAAATATATTATGTGATGTAACTAAAAATTTATGGTTTTCGTAATTTTTCCTTTATCTATGCTATAAGAAGTTGCTTCGTACCAAATTTCAAGATTCTGAGTTCACGGGAAGCACCCTGTAGGTTTTGATTCCCTTGCAAGTGTCGAAAATTTGCGGCATAAACGGCTGTATCTTTTGATTGCGTTGGCTTAGAAGTTTGATTTTTTCACAGCTTCAAGGGACAGTAGACCTGAGTAATTGATATAAATTTCAGCTTCATACCTCCACGCGTTCCTGAGAAAAAGGGTCTTGACAGACCGACGGACGGACAACAAAGTGATCCTATAAGGGTTCCGTTTTTTCCTTTTGAGGTACGGAACCCTAAAAATACGATGAACAGGCGCCCGCTCAGCAAAAATCGCGACATGACACAAACGTCATGCCGTATAGCCATGTGTGTCGACTGTTACCGCAGAACCCCTACACTACCGCTTGAATGCGAAACAATTAACCAAACTTTAGTATAATTATAACATTATAGTGAATAGCATTACTAAATTATGCATAATTGTTTTACGTACGACATCCTAATGTTCCAACCCAACCACGAAGCTTGCCAAAAGCTCCGAACTAAGTTCCCACAGTGTGTAATGGCAGTCGCAACTTTATCAGCAAACTTATATGTACTTATCCTTATAAAGTTATAAGTATGGAGTACTATCATTATAGACCAATAACAATTACTTTCCAAGCTTTTATTACTTTGACTTTCAAATGTTCCCAGAATTTTGATAAATAATAATAAATAAAAGTATTTTAAAAGTTATACAGTTGCACGCGATGTGATTTTAACCACAATTTCTTATGTTTCTATCTACATATTTACTTAGGTACAGTTTCTGATTAACACCCGTATTCACAAACGATGCTTGCTTAAGTGAAGCAGCAAATCGAACGCACAGCGTTGAATAGAGCTCTGTGATTGGTTCGTGTGTCACCCTGTGCGTCCACGCGCACTGTGAGACCTCATAGACCCTTATCACGACTCCGAGACAACCTACCAGTTATTAACTCGATTCCCTCTTCCCCAGGTGACAGACCCAGATCTCTTAGTGGAGTACCCACCCACGCAGCACTCCCATGGTCTGCTGTCCACCGCTCTCGGTCTCCGAGTGCCGGTCGGGCGGACGATGCAGGTGCGATGTACCGCACGAGTGGCGCCAGCTTGGAGAGAAGGCAGCGAGGCTGTGGTTGGGAACAGCCAGCTGGCTGATAGCAAGGAGGCTATGTTGCTTGGTAAGTTCAAAATAAATTAAATGTTTATTGACTTTTTGGACCAATGATCATGATGCCTGATCCAGAACCTCAGTGAGTATAGGTACCTACTTGTCAATCAGATCGGTAGGTATAAGCTCCGTCGTCGTGAAAGCCAGATATACTTAAACTAGAATCACTTTTGTCAAATTCGATCAATAGAAATATGCGTAATTTTAACATTGAGTAAAGTACCAGTCTTCTCAAAATTACGCGAATATCCAAATGGCCATTTTATAAACTGAACTGGACAAAATTTAGGACAATGCGGGACTTCTAAAATACGTAATAAGGCGCCATTTTCTGTACCTAATAACGTTAACGTTACACGGTAATTTTCAATGTAATGGATGGATGTAGAAAATCACTGTACTAGTTGTTCGAATAGTACCTAATGTTTTTATTCTTTAGGTACTGGCAGTAAGGAAATCAAGTTACATGGTAAGTAGACAGAAAATAAATCCCGAAATTTTGGCAGGGCAAGCTTTTGTTGTGTCCTGATAACAACTCAACCAACTAACGGAAAGTATACAAAGGCTATCAACAAACTTTACTTGTAGGTATTTAAGTTAATGTTTTTTCAAGTAAGTAATTTAATTATAAGTAATCATTATACGGTTTGATACTAAAAATATCCATAATTACCAGAACGACGGACGCTGATAATTTTCTATGATTATACGTTATACGTTCGTTTAAGCTAACTAATGTGACGTATTTCGTAAGATACTTTATCAAATTGAAGGACACAAAAATATCCCCAAGAATATCTGAAATATCTTGCTATCAGCTTTAGCTTGGACCTGGCTGCAATCTTATGCAGGACGCATTTCGAAATATGATTGAACTGTATAACTATAGCTATAAGATCTATAGCGTGTCCGCCCGGAGAATACGATGATCCAAGAAACGTATGAAAATTTGCTGGGTCGGAATTGTATGTTCAGAATATTGCTAGCCTATTAGGAAGATAGGGTTTTTTCTAAATTGAGCCTTTTAACTAAATCCAATATTGTGTCTATATTAAGTAAAAATAGACTCATTTGAGTGTAATTTTTATTCGACCATTTTAATGATAAGTGCGTTAGCCGAGTTATAACCTCGCAGCCTCCAAATTATAATATAAATATTTAACAATAACGTCCAGGGATAAAAAATAACTGTTGTAAATCTAAAAGTCTTGAAAGCTAAAACTATTGATTGATTAGGTGAACAAGGGCCTTATCAGAATGCTATGACTAACTAAAAATAATATGTCTAGTTAGTTGGCGGCACCACTAAAAACCACAGCAAAAATTCACTGTTTTCCATTTGACCTATAAGTTGAGGGTTGTATAAACAAAACCTATGCGTCAAAGGGTTTGTAGTAGCACGGTTTGATGACATAAAATATAAACAGGCCTTTGTAAAATCTATTTACGGACGCGCACTCGCGTGCAGTTGATGTTTAAAATCAACAAACATATTAAGCTTTGTTTACTTTAACACTGTAGGGTAATTTTACTTGTCAAATGGAGACGCTTCATGAAATACAAGAATGAAAAGGTCTGGATTTTCTAGGAGCATCAACTGCACAAACATTATTTTAAACTGCGTGCGAAATGGAATCGAATTCAAAATTCATTAATGAGTCTACGATATAGATTTCTTAGTTAGTGTTACCATTTGAAATACTTATGTGACAAAAAGAAAATTTCTCTAATATCTTTTTACCGCAATTTTCTTAAATTACTGGTTTTTGGACTAACGCAATGCGCCTTTGCGTATTCGTTAACTTAATACAACTTCGCACACTTCGTTTGAAGTACGAATGGGCGTAATTCAAAATTTAAATACCTAAAAGGCGTGCACGCTCGCTAGACGAATTCGTGTCGATTTTATAACGTTAGCACATAAAGGTGAGTATAGGCCGGAGCGTTTACTTGTAACAAAACCACTAGCCGCTCTACGATATTATGGTCTTGTGTTAACCCCTTCACGAACCAAATGTCGTACAACCTGTATTGTACCATTCGTAAGAACTTTACATTACAATTCTCTAGCTAGTCTATACACACCTCAAAGGTATTTGAATATGAGCATTTAACCACGTAAGCTGAGCGGAGTTCCATCTCACCTATAGAATAATTTAATAGCTCCGCTCCGAATGTTCGCTATCATAACAATGTTACAAACGGATGTCGATAGAGATATCTTAGACCATTAACTTTGAGAATAGTTACCTGGCAGTTAGTTGCGAGAACTTATCGGTGCTTAGTTATAGCGAATACTCGTACTGCTTCGTAATAGGTGTATTAGCTGCTTAATTTAATAATCTTGTTCTGTTCGATTTGACATTTAAGGAGCTTACTTACCTGATGTTAATGTTTGGAACGTATTTATATTAGACTACCTACATGAATGAGTTTTAGTATTTTTGTTGTAGTACGTCGGTCTATTATTTAATTAGGATATACTGCAGCAAAAGTCTCAACTATTAAGGGCTTGTATTCCCACGGAGACATTCCGTTTTTTGCAGGATCCCTTTTCATAGGCAATGTTCCGCAAAAAACCGAATCTTTCAAATTTGTAATTAGAATTTCAAACACACGTCATTGTGTGTTCATTCATATGATAGTACAGTTTTGCGGGATTCTACATTACTGGGTCCTGCAAAACTGGATTGTCGTGAAAACGAACGCTACTTTAATGATGAAAAGTTAACCATATTTTATTGTAAGGTTCTTTGACTGTGGATAGACATTGTTTTAGCGATCGATTCCACCAAACAATTTTCACATAACGTTGTAAATGTGCGGGCTTGACAATCGCACAATAAAATTGTTTTGTCCGCTTTATGATTTAACTTTTTATCATGACAAAACAATGATATCGGAAAATACGTTTAGGCAGTATTTTTACAATCGAATAACACAAATAAATTGAAAAAATATTTGGCATGATATGGCATGATCATTCGAACAAAGTGCTATAAATAGAATTACCGCTCCCTTGGTACAATAGTAAGCTATATCTACATTTACAGGTTGTTAGGTACTTAAATGGGTATATGAGCCGACACTAGCCCATGTTAACATGATCATATAAATGGTATGGTGAAGTCAGAAAATTGATATCTTCATTTTAATTATTTTAATTTTCATACAAATCGGATTTTTAAAAAAATATTTTGTATGAAAGTTAAAAAAAATTAAAATGATATCAAATTTCTGACTTCACCATACCATTTATATGAACATGTTAACATGGGCTAGTGTCGGCTCATATAACCTATTTACCTAACATCCTGTATAGTATACATTGTGGTATCTTATGGAGTTGTATTATGGACTATTTTTCAACAAAAACGTGCTATCGAAAAACGAGAATCCATTTGAGATGTTCGGGTATAAATGCGTTTTACATTAGGCATTTGTACTAGTACCAGATTGTATATGAACAGGGAACCTTACGCGTGTATTTGAAAAGGAACTTTACATGCCATATTTCAAAGACTGGTTTTGAGGCTCTCTAGTTTCCACGTGACACTTAGCATGGAAGCAAAATTGCAGTCATCAGCTTCACGCATCCGCGCCTAGCGCGCCTGTGTTCGTTAACAGAATATCTGACTATACGTTTATACTTCTAACCATGCTACTATGTCAACCTTATGTACGGTTGTCCATATAAGAGATATTACACATGTACCTCTAGCATGAACAACTTTTAGTCCAGTCAATTGGTACAAAATAATGGCTTTACCTGGAAAGTTTGCCGGGAGTAATGAAAATTGGTATTTATATAGATTTCGATGTGCTCTTTGCGAATTTCAACTTTGCGACCTCGTATGGTTGCCGCTCGCACCGCCATATTGGAAAAATGCTGCCTAGTAGCAGTTTTTATTAAATGTTTCCTTTCGGATTAACTTTATGACAAAATATGCTTAGAGAAATTAAACTAGAGAAAATTTCCTATTTTTGATGCCTGCACAACCTTTTTGTGAAATCAATAGTTTAGGCGTAGGAGTGCCGTAAATTATACTTCTATATGCTTTTGTCTTCGAATCGTTTGCGTATTCGACAAAATTCGACACTCAATCTTCGAATTAAACGATAACGTGACAGTTTTGATTCTCAAAATAGGTTTCGTGCAACCATTTCTCATACTAAGTTCACTTTACGACACGTTCACAAGGGCGCTGTTGTACTTCTTTGTAGGTACTAAATCTTTTGATGGCGATTCGAATACGCAAACGATTCGAACTCGAAAGATTTTCGTGCTAGCCGTACTGATATTTTAAATAATGTAACATAAATTTTATGCAGGTTCAATCGCAAAAGTCCTGTAGAATAGTAATTACCTATAAGAAAATCAACCAGAAACATTGCTCTGATTCTCCATGCAATGAATTCTACTGCATTTTTTACCCAGTGCTAACTGTTAAAAATAATTGGATACCTACATAAGTGGTTAACCTTTGTAGGAAAGAAATAAATTTATTTATAAAGTAATATTTTATCTAACTACGAAGAATAACAGAACACCCATTTAACCCCTTGAAATCAGTTCTTTACTAACAAACATTATTTGTTTCAGTGCGCAGCTCGAGCGAGGCGTCCACATTAAGCGTAACGCTATTAACACTTCCCTTGGCCTTACTCCTCGGTTCCGTAATACAATTACAAACGTGATAAATTATCTCCCTATTTTATTAACTAAACGTGATCTAGGAGATGACTAACGTGTTAAATAGAATACAAAGATTTCTACTTGGGTTAACTATATTTTGTAAGAGATACAGGCTGATTTAAAAAAAATGTTGCTTTCTTGTATTGATTTGCTTGACTTTGACTTTATTAAAACCTTTTTGAGAGTAATTTATGTTTTTAATTTGTGTACAATAATGTTTTCGAGTACTTTTTAAATACCTTCGAATGTACAAACTGATAAGATCTTACTTTTTATTGTATCTAATACTTTCATTTTTTATCTTGTTTTTTAATTGTTTAATGCATATCGTTAAATCTTAGGTAGTTACAGTTAATAATAGGTATATTAATTTTTTAAATAAAAATATTAAGTCTTCGATACATATCTGTAACGGAATAGTTAAAGCTAGTAATTGTGTAAGAAAATTTAAATCATTTGGCTCATTTTAGTTCTGATAATGTATTTGTTAAAAGATGTATAGAATATTTTCGCAATGGAAAGCTTATGTTTTTTTTTATTCTACAAGATAACTTTTTACTTGAAACTTGTACATAATGTTAGAAACGCCTTCCTAGATGATATTAAATTTGAGATGTAAATAAATGGTTAAATAAATTAGGTGAAAGTAATTTGTTTTTGTAAAATACTAGGTAAATTGAAAACATTTCATGTAAAATAAATTGTAACCTCAAAATTTTTATTGACATTTAAATGTGTGAATTTCAAAAATATCACTTTATTTTCAGTGCATTGACTTGCATTTAACACGTATTTCTAATCGGTTACATTTTTCATGTATAATTTGTATTTGCTGGAATATAATTCTTTCAACGTTTCCAAACATTCCAAACAAAAGTTTCATGTTATTTTAGTAAACTCACAAAGCATAGAAACTTCAACATCCAAATAAATTGGCATTTTGACAGCTTGAAGCTGCTTCAATCTAATGTAATCTGATTTGAATCTATCTAATTTGAATAATTGACAGTGTTTCTATCTAAGCAAAAACTATGAAAATAAAGTTATAAAAAGCTAATCAAATCTTTGCTAATTGACAAAGGTGTTACACGCATTTAAAACGTCATTTTCTATGCTTTTATATTCAAACTCAGTCATATTGGTTGCGTTCTGCGGGCTGCGGTTAGGTCGATGTGAACGCAGCCCGCATTATGTATGAACAACCGCAGAAGATATCCAGCGCAGCAAATCCTTAAGAAATATAATTACATATTTAGGAAAATGCTTTAGTTTTCCTCACTTAATGCAAGTCATTTATTATAAGTTGCTGTTTCCACAGTCCCAAATTGTAAATACAAACTAGAAACACTAAACTTGTCGTTCGCTTTTGTTGTTAACGTGTATTGTAATTAGTCTTACCTGGCATAATTTTGTTGAAATATAAGACAATTTGTTATAAAGGCATTTTATTTTATCCTTTTGGATACGACCAACAAATGATAATATAATGTAACCTAACCCTGTATCAGAAATTCAGAATAGCACACAGGTGGGTTCTTCTATGCTAAGACAGAGGGTTCAATTCCCTCTCTATACTACGAGTAGTACTAGTAAATTAGGTTTCTTTCTCTCTATTATTTATTGATAAAGGATTTCCAATTTAATTTAGTTTTTTAATAGATTTTTTGCAATATTTCCACTTCCAACGATTCATTACTTTCATGGATACCCTACATGTTATGTTAAAGCTGCGGACAAAACCATTTCTGACAAAGCAAAAATACCGCACAATTTTCCAAACAAGTCGTGTAATCCAATCTGGAAAATGCAGTACCTAGTTTTATTAGAGTAAGTCATTGAACAAATCCCTCTAAAGGACACAAAGAATCCAGTACAGGACAAATCGAGACACTCGTATCTTCTTTTGTAAGCTATCTCCACACTTGTGTGGCCTTTGTAACGATCCTTCCGCGAATTCTACGAGAGCTATAATATCACATATCATTGGTAAAGACGTGGAGTACATTGTTGAACACATTCAGGATTGGGTAATTTTTGTACTTAGGTAAGTCGGCATTCTTACTTATGATGTTGTGGTTTATTTTAGTTCATTAGTCGAAAAGGTAACTTTGTTGTTCAAACAAAAAGCAATTCTAAGGCTGGGTTGCTCCATCTTACTTTAACCTTGACGAACGACAAAAATCTGTCAAACTCCATACAGATGCACCGGATATCGTCAAAGTTACAGTCATAGTTATTGGTGCAACCCAGCCTTAGATTGCCGGCTGGGGGACCTGACAAGATTGGGAGAAGGTTCGACGTGACTAAATTCAGAGACCCTGACACCTGCACCAAGTTCAGGCTCGAACTGCGGAACCGTTTCTCCGCCCTTGATGACGAGAAATGCTCAATAGACGAAAAGTGGAACCATATCAAAGTGGCCTACACAGAGACCAGCTTTTCCGTCTTGGGTCACAACACGCACACGCGGGAGGACTGGATGTCACAATCCACATGGCAGCTGATCAGCGACCGTAGAGAGCTCCACCTAAAGTTTACAAACCACCGACGTGCAACTTATAGCCACCCTCAGACAGCAGTACCGTCAGATGCGCAGGAAAATCTACCGCAGCACGCGGAAAGACAAAAGGCTGTGGGCTGACGGGGTTGCTGACAAGGCCCAACTCGCTGCTAACACTGGCAATCTGAGAGAGCTGTACAAAGCGACGAAAACCTTGGCAGGAAGTAGCAGACCAAAGAAGAAGCCTCTTAAGTCAAGTGATGGAGAGCTTATTGTGTCGTCTGAAGGGCAACTGCAACGATGGCGTGAACACTTTCAGGAGGTCTTCCGCCCTACCTTGACTACAGCCACCACCACGCCTGAGCCACCGCAGCACACCTCTACTCCACCTAGGCTGCTCGACATCAATGTGGAACCACCATCACACGACGAAGTGGCCAAAGCTATCCTATCCCTCAAGATTGGCAAGGCCCCAGGACTCGACCTTATCACCGCAGAAATGCTGAGAGTCGACGTAAACTCCGCCGCCGACGTTCTGACACCTCTCATCGAAAACATCTGGATGGAAGAGGAACTCCCAGACGACTGGAATAAGGGGCTTTTAATTACTGTGCCAAAGAAAGGGGATCTAAGCCAGTGTAGCAATTGGAGAGGTATCACTTTGCTCTCGATACCGTCAAAGGTTTTCTGCAAGATTATCTTGGATAGGTTATCGGGGGCCGTTGAACCTCTTTTGCGTAGGGAACAGGCTGGCTTCCGCCCGAACCGCTCGTGTACCGACCAGATCAATACTTTGCGTATCATTTTGGAGCAGGCATCAGAATGGCAAAGGGAAGTCTACCTAACCTTTGTAGACTTTGAAAAAGCCTTTGATACGCTGAAGTGGGCAAGTATATGGTCGCGACTCGCTGACATTGGTGTCCCGCCGAAAATCATCGACCTACTGAAGGCCATCTACAGGAAATATTCTTGTACGGTGACTCACGACGGCCTCATCTCCGAAGACATCGAGGTGCATGCGGGCGTCCGGCAAGGCTGCCTGCTTTCGCCCCTTCTCTTTCTGGTTGTCTTGGATGGAGTCATGAATCGCGCATATCAAGACCAACGGCGTGGAATAGAGTGGGGTATAATCGGAGTCTTAGAAGACTTAGATTATGCCGATGACCTCTGTTTGCTGAGCCACACGCATCACGATATGCAATCCAAACTTAATGACCTACATCGAGAAGCGGGTATCACAGGGCTCAAAATTAACTGCCGGAAGACCCAAGAGATGCGATCTGAAGTGAGAAATTGCACGCCATTACGGATTGGTGCAGAGGATGTGGCACGAGTCCACAATTTCACCTACCTCGGGAGCGTGTCAGAAACTGGAGGTACCGAAGAGGACATCACTTCGCGCATTGCCAAGGCCAGAGCTACCTTCGCACAACTTCGCCCCATATGGCAGTCACGGAAATTGACCCGAAGGGTCAAGATCAAAATATTCGGGTCCAACGTTAAATCCGTTCTGCTCTATGGGTGTGAAACGTGGAAGGTCACCAAGGTTATCTCGCACCAGCAGAAGACCTGCACTTCATCAACCGCTGCCTTCGCCGAATTCTCGGCATATACTGGCCCGAGAAAATCTCCAACGTCGAGCTATTGGAACGCTGCCACGAAATTCCGATCGACCAGCAGATCAAGCGCCGCAAGTGGAACTGGATTGGCCACACTCTCCGAAGGGACCCCGATCACATCCCTAAGCAGGCTCTGGATTGGAATCCCCAAGGAAAACGCAAACGTGGTCGACCCAGGCAAACTTGGCGGCGCACTGTAGCGGACGAGGCGAAGAAGATCGGCAAGACCTGGAGCGAGATCAAGCGAGAAGCTTAAGACCGAACGAGATGGAGGACTGTTGTGGACGCCCTCTGCCCCATCTAGGGGACATAGGACCATAAGTCAAGTAAGTCAGCCTTAGATTACATCAGTAAGCGTTGAGGGAAAAATTGATTTCTTTCTATTAAGTATTTGTTTTTGTGCGATACAGTATAGTTAAAATTAATACGTATCAGTAGTTATCTCTAGATGACTTGCGTAAATATCAAATCATGAAAGAAAATCTCATAATTTTCTAAGCTCTAATATTCATAAAATCAAATACCTACTAACGTGACAATACACACAATGATTCATTTGCATAAAACGACGGGTGCTAGATTCGTCAGAATAATTGCGTCAACACCACCGTTATTTGATCCGCTAATTCCTGCACGACATCGCAATTTGGGAGGGTAGAGTGAAAAATTGGGGCTCTCCATTAGATGGCCGTATTAACGCCTCCAGAGTTTATAACACGCGAAAGGGCGGCACGCATTAGGTGTTAAATGCGCGAGCTCTGTTCAAACAAATGTTCTTTATAATTACTACTATCAGAGAGCATCAATTTGAGTGTTAGTGGTAAAAAAACGAACACGGTTTTGATATTACCATTTGCGTTTACAAGGCCGATGTGACTATGCCGGCTAGACATTTGTATTTAACGCACATGTAGATAATAATAGATACCTATGTAGGTAATTATTTTTTTTGTAAATTCTGCCACGTCACCAACGCGGCAACGTTTCGGCAAATATTCAGTATATTCACTCATTCAATAGCAATGAACGATCCTATGAGCATATCGGTGGGAGTCAACCCTAATTGGTTGCCACGTGAGTGTAATTGTCATCCTAAATTAGTATTTTGTAAGTATACTAGCTAACCTGGTGAACTTCACACCGCTTTTGTCCATCAGAAATAAGTAACGTAGGATTCTAATGGTGAAAAAAGTGTGAATGTAATGGTGAAAGATATGGTGAAGTGTTGTGACTGTGGGTGAATTCTTTACGTGGTCCATCGTTTGTGTCTCAGTGTGATCAATTCCAACCAGGGACTAAGTCCTCTAAGAAGGGAATCATAGCGATCTACCTACGAGTGGGCGCATCGAGACGAGACTGTTCCCTGCTGCAGCTTCAGTTGATGGTAAGTGTTCTTTTTGCATGGTGAACTAATTGCAACAGAAAAATGGTTGACTATTTCTTCTTAGGTATGAACTTAATACCTTTTATGAAAAAATCTTTACTTATTACTAATCTCAATGCTAAACCAAGGTTCTAACGATATGCGACATAATAATGAATTCACGTGCAGTCCCGCGAAAGAAAGATAAATTATCAATGTTCAATTGATTCCAATACGATTAAGAATCCTACTTCTTTGGACAAATTCCCACAGCGCTGCTTATCTAGCCCCAAAAGCAATTAATATGCTTGTGTTATGGGTGCTAGCTTAACGGATATATACTTTTTTAAATACTTACATATTATACATAGTAACACCCAGACCCGTTACAGAAATTAAAATTCATTATTTCAATTTCTGCCCGGCCGGGAATCGAACCCGGGACCCCTCGGCATAGTAGTCCGTTTTAGAACCATTACACCAAACGGCCGTCGTTATCCTATACAAATACGTACTTGTATAGGATCACCATTCCGCTGGTCTCGGTCTATGATATACTTAGGCACTATCTTTGTAAAAGTCTTAGACAGTTCAATAAGGAAGATAAAGAACCCTTTACTGCCTTTATAGCAAGATAAAATTATACGTTGGTAGGTATTATAAATAAGCACAAATAGGTATCCATCCACCATCTTACTTTAACTTTGAGAAAAGTCAAAAATCTGTCAAACTCCATACAAAAACCGGTTATCGTTAAAGTTACGGTCAAAGTTGGTGGTGCAACTCAGCCTAATAGTTCTTCATAAGGTTAGCTTTAAACGGATCTGTATAATTTCATAAT